TAGAGCCGGATTTTACTCTAGGCAAATTAGTTTCTTAAGAAACTTAGAATTTGAGGTGTTAACGCCCCAAAATCACCAAACGGCGTCGGAGTAGCACGAAACTTGGCACACATGACCACCTAGGCATGAAAGACTTGTGGGAGAAGACGGGACTTAAATCGGATTCCCGGTTTGGGAGTTTGAGCTGGATTTCACTCTAGGCAAACTAGTTTCTTAAGAAGCTTAGAATTCGAGCTGTTAATGCCTCAAAATTACCAAACGGCGTCAGAGTAGCACGAAACTTGTCACACACGATCGCCTAGGCATGAGAGACTTGTGGGAGAAGACGGGACTCAAATCGGATTCTCGGTTTGGGAGTTAGAGTCAGATTTCACTCTAGACAAATTAGTTTCTTAAGAAATTTAGAATTCGAGGTTTTAACGCCCCAAAATCACTAAACGGCGTCGGATTAGCATGAAACTTGGCACACACGACCGCCTAGGCACGAGAGACTTGTGGGAGAAGATGGGACTCAAATTGGGTTCCAAGTTTGGGAGTTAGAGCTGGATTTCATTCTAGGCAAACTAGTTCTTTAAGAAATTTAGAATTCGAGGTGTTGATTCTCCAAAATCACCAAATGGCGTCGAAATAGCACGAAACTTGGCACACATGGCCGCCTAGGCACAAGAGATGGGAGAAGACAGGACTCGAATCAGGTTCCCTATTTGGGAGTCAAAGCCGGATTTCACTCTAGACAAACTAGTTCTTTAAGAAACTTAAAATTCAAGGTGTTGACGCCCCAAAATCACCAAACGGCATTGGATTAGCACGAAACTTGGCACACACGACTGTCTAGGAACGAGAGACTTGTGGGAGTAGACGGGACTCTAATCGGGTTCCCAATTTGGGAGTTAGAGCCGGATTTCATTATAGACAAATTAGTTTTTTAAGAAACTTAGAATTCAAGGTCTTAACGCCCCAAAATCACCAAACGGCGTCGGAATAGCACAAAACTTGGCACACACGACTGCCTAGGCATGAGAGACTTGTGGGAGGAGACGAGACTTGAATCGGATTCCTGGTTTGGGAGTTAGAGCCGGATTTCACTCTAGACAAATTAGTTTCTTAAGAAACTTAGAATTCGAGGTGTTAACGCTCCAAAATCACCAAACGGCGTCGGATTAGCATGAAACTTGGCACACACGACCGTCTAGGCCCGAGAGACTTGTGGGAGGAGATAGGAATCGAATCGAGTTCCCGGTTTGGGAGTTAGGGCCGGATTTCACTCTAGGCAAACTAGTTCGTTAAGAAATTTAGAATTCGACGTGTTGACGCCCCAAAATCACCAACGGCGTCGGATTAGCACGAAACTTGGTACACACGACCGCCTTGGCACGAGAGATTTGTGGGAGAAGACAGGACTCAAATCAGGTTCCCGATTTGGCAGTTATAGCCAGATTTTTGGTCTAGGCAAACTAGTTCTTTAAGAAACTTAGAATTCGAGGTGTTGACCCCCCAAAATCACCAAACGGCGTTGGATTAGCACGAAATTTCGCACACACAGCTGCCTAGACATGAGAGACTTGTGGGAGAAGATGAGACTCAAATCGGGTTCCCGATTTGGGGGCAAAATTATTTACTTAATTATCTTTGTAATTGTATATTAGTTAAATTTTTATGTCTTTTTTTGTAATTAACATATTAACACATAATTATATTATCATTAATTATTTTTATTTTTTGTTTTCAGATATTTTCCAAATAGGAGTTTGCTTCTTGTGAAATGCATGCCTATGAAGAATGCTACTAACTTTTGTTTTTGTTACCTATGGAGAATGATGAAGAAAACTTTTAATTTTGGTTTATGTTATTTTGAATTATGAACAACATTATGTATTTAATCATTATATATGTATTATGGAACATTATGTAGTGGGGTAATTTTGTTAATGTGTAGTTATGAATGCAAAAATATTCTTATTATGGAGAAATTGTTATCTCTATACAGGAATTTTTATATTATTATGCAATTATTGATTTCTTTTTCAATTGTTTTTTAGTTGATACAGGTAATTTTAATATTTTTATTAATTTGATTGCATTTTTTTTTTGGGCGACGGCACCACACCGTCGCAAAAAATATTAGAATCATTGGCGACAGTGGCCATGCCGTTGCAAAAAAAAAAAAAAAAAAATTCACAACATTTTTTGCCGTCTCAAATAAAACTTTAAGCGACGGTAAAATAGTGCCGTCGCAAAAGGTCTCAATTTTTTACATATTATAGGCGATAGTAAAATGCCGTGGCAAAAGACAACAATTGTTGTCGCAAAAAAAAGGTGACGGCATGATGTCATCGCTAAAATGTTTTTGCAACGCTCTCTATTGTAATCCCCCTTTTGCCGTCGCTAAAAGTCATTTGTTGTTGCTAAATTTTTTTTAAGACGACATTGGGAGTATTAGCGACGGCATTCGCAAAAATCTGAAATTTTTGTAGTGCATAAAAAATCCAGAATCTTCAAGAGATAAAAATCAAACAATAAAATTTAGTTGAAATTAGCAAAAATGGGGTTCAATGTCAAGTATGTTAAAAATTTATGAAATTAACTTGAGAGCTTTGCTGAGATATGTAAAACCCAGTTAATAATTAAATAAAAAATAAAAATCCCATACCGTTTGAGCGGCAAAAATAAAAAAGAAAATGGAAAAAGTACGAAACATGTTTGGTTTGTATTTGAGAAATATGTTTTGAGATAAAAAATACGAAAATTTGTTTTGTTTGGTTTGGTTTTTTTTCATAAGATGTTTTGAAAAATTATTTTGAGAGAGAGTTTTGGAAAAAGTGATTGATTTGATGTGTATGAGAGAGAGATTTGTTTAGAAAACTTGTAAACCAAACAAGTTTTGGAAAAAAAATTTGGTTTGATTACTTTTGAAAACTTATTTGTAGAGAATTTTTCTCAAAATTTTTTGAGAAACACAAACCAAACAAGGCCATAGATTTAATGGTTACGCAAAATTTCATATAAATACATTTCTTGTTTGAAAAAGATGACTCCCAAAAAGAAATTATAAATCAGTGGTGTCTTTATAATATGTTTTTAAATTCATGAAAAAATTTGTAACTTTAATTATTAAAATTATAAAATTGATCAGTAAGTTAAAATTGTTTTTGAAAACATACATGGAACTGCCCCATTCAATATATATATATATATATATATTTTTACTAATAGCGAATATCTAAAATAATGACATGTTAAAGTTTAGAGAAACAAATAAGGATTACTTATATGAAGACGTCCAAAATTATTGAAAAGTATTATTTTGATCCCTTAAATTATACAAACATACAAATCGACTTCTTAGATTATTGAGAAATATTATTTTGCCTCCTAAACTATAAAAGTATACAAATAGATTATTTAAACTATTGACATATTTCACTTTGCCTCCTTCCATTAGAGGGTTTAATTGGTACGATTTTTTTATTTATTTTATATATATATATATAGTTTATGAGGTACATTTATACGTTTCTATAGTTTATAGGGTCAAAGTGATACTTCTTGATAGTTTAAGAGTCTATTTGTATGTTTTTATAATTTAGGAGATCAAAATAATATTTTTCAATATTTAGGGGTCTTTGTATAAATAACCCAATAAATAAGTAAACACATATACAACATTGGAGCAAAACCGTGATAAAAAAAATTGTCCATGGATGCATATCGTTCATACCTTAACCGTAAATCAGATATCCTTAATGCTTAAAATGTAAAGCCCATGTTTCTAATGTCTTATCACAATTTTTCCCTAAATGAAACTCAAGTCTCCACTTGTTACTTCGAGGACAGTAAATATTATTTTTTTTTTTATAAATTTTTTGCAGAAAAAAATAAAATTTAGTAGATGTGTTTTATCAGTTATTTATTTATTATGATTATTATTTTTAAATACATATTTAGTGAGTTGTAAGACGAGAGAGAGTTGAACAACCTAAGAGGGAGTAATTAGAATGGAGAGTTAGAGAGAGAATAAAAACTTATTTTCAAGAATCAAAACAATTGAAAACAATTGAAACTTACTTTTTTTTTTTTTGGGCCCCTCAAAATTGAGAACCGTTGCCATTTTTATTTTTAATTTTTGCAACAAAAATAGTTAAATCCTTGTTATCTTGAGATTGCATTTTGGGTTTAGCAATCTAGGTGCTTATTGTTTTGTAGCTTTTAAATCCTTGTTATATAATGTGCAAATATCTAAGGTCCCGTTTGTTTGGAGAGTTAGAGGGGCGATTATGATTGGTAGTGAGGTGAGACCCACTAACATTGTATTTGTTTTGAGAGATGGGGAGGGGATTGATAATGAGCTCCGGATTCGGATGGGCCTCCCCAAGGGGATTCGGGTGGACCTCCAAGACTTGATATTAGAAAAATAGTCCGTCGGACTAGAATTTTTTTTATTTTTTATTTTATTTTTTACATGTTGAGCATTTTTTTTTGAACATTAATGTTAAAATTTTTTTTTTGTTAAGTAAAAATTATTGTTTTATTTGTTTTATTTTTTTCTAGAAATTATTTATTTATTTTTTATTTTTTAATTTTTTTTTACATATTGGGCATTTTTTTTAAAACATTAATGTTCAATGTTTTTGTATTTTTTTTATTTGTTTTATATTTATTTTATATAAAAATAATTTAACAATCCCTACACTAACAACTATCATCAAAACAAACACAATTTTACTTAATCTCCTTACCAACAATCTCCTTGCTAACAATCCCCTCACTATGAATCCCTTCCATTCTATCTCTTAAAACAAACTGGCCTAAACTCTTAGCAAAGGGTCTAGTTGGCAAGACTTGCGTAGTCTCACAAGATTAAGTCGAAACTTACCTTGCATTCAGAGAGATTGTTTCCGTGTCAAACCCAAGATACTCAAGTTACGATGAATCCCTTATTCATCAAATCAGCAAGAAGAGGAACCCAAAATGTGAAACACATTTACCAATTAATGAGTGAATTATATCAATTTGAAATAATTTACCAATTAACTACCAGATGAGTTTTACATGTCTAAAGTATGTACAACTTCTGAAATAATTTCATTTCAATTTGAACTTTTCTTCTTTTGAGCATTTTATTATGTATACACTTGAATCAAATTTACATTTCAGAGCCACAAATACTATCTCCGATTCTGCAATTTATATTACTAGTATGTATATATCTCCAACCTCTCTCCAAGTCATAACATACTTATTTGCAGCAAACATATATTTAGTTGTTGGTTTTGCCATGACTTCTGGGGAAAGGGATAACGTCTCTGACATCGATAAGGTCAGTAGCATAGAGAACCAAGAGGTCGAACATGAGACTGAAGCCAGAGTGTGTGATGGTCCCGTGCCTATGAAGATCTAAATACCATTCATACTGCTCCTTTGGTAGGCTTTGTTCCTTAATCCTGCAATCATAACCGATGCAAATCAGTAAAATTGTTTAGGCTTCTTTTTTTTTTTTTTTTCAGAAAAAAAAATATTAACCTTTCCTTACCTTGTATTTAGTACACTGAAGCGTTCCTCATTTTGGCTGCCACTGATCAATGTTCCGGCCTGCAAATAGATATCCTCCAACTTATTGACTAGCAATTATGGATTGTAGAGTCAACTCTATAGAATGAAGAATCAAAGATATTAAGAAAGAGTTTTCAACTTACCTTTGGTACAACTACATCAAATGCAGCAACGGTTCTTCCATCATCGTTGAGGCGTACATGGAATGGCTTAAGTTCTTTAAGATAGTTGTGTATAATAACCGGACTTTTATAGATTTCGTCTGCCAGATAACTACAACCAAAAAAGGGATTTAAATTACTTCTTTCTCTCCCAAAACAACACCACCATCAACAAAAACAAATACCGCCACCATATGCATACCTTTCATGTTCTTCACTTAAAGGCGCACCCCACTCAATTTGTTTTTCGAATTTCTTATCTTTGACCTATGGTAAAGGACGACTATACATGTAAGACAATTACGACAAAGATGGAATTGATATTTACAACAATGAATTAAAGAACATAGGAGAATATTACTTGTTTTAAAACATCTACTGCTTCTGCATAGGTGACACTTTCGAATGAACTTGATACCATTGATTGAAGACGATCAATAATGGTTTGGTCAGCTCGTTTTGACAGAAATTTCAGATCTTCGGAACACTTTTCGATTGCCCATTCACAGACAAACTTTAGAAAGTCTTCTGCACATTTCATAGCATCCTGAAACATCAAAAATTCTATAAATACAATAACAAGTTAATGCTTCATAAAAAAGAAAACAAGAAAAGATTGGCATAAATAATAAAAGAAAATGAAACAATGTCAGGTCAAATTAAAGAAGCTTATCGTGTGACAAACAAAACATTTTCAAGAATTTTCATCAGAAATATACCTCTAATTGCGAGAAAGCCATTTCAAGTTCAATCATCCACATCTCCGCCACTTGTTTTTTGGAGTCTGGTTTTTCTGCTCGAAATCTTGGCCCAAATGAGTACACATTTCCTAGGGCACATGCATAGCTCTCGAGATGAAGGCGACCAGAAACAGTTAGATAAGTCTGGTGCGAAAAGAAATCGTCAGAGAAGTCCACCCTTTCAGTTATAAGTAGAGTTCCAGACTTATTAGCCTCTTCTCTTGCCTCCAATTGAGCTGCTAGCTCATATGCCTTGCACAGGTCCTGAAGTGCAGAAATTAGTTTTTCCTTGTTGCTTTCGCTTTTGATCTTCAGTTCTTCAACTAGTTTTTTTTTGTCCTCAATCGAAGCCTTGACTGTTTCAAGACTGACACGTGCAGAATCGCCTGTGCTAATTACCTCCTTTTTAAGTTCTTTGCGAAGGAGAGTTGTAACTTGGAACTTCTCACTAAGCCCGTCACAATCTGTGGTTGTTATAATGGGCAATTGCACATAAAGGAACCCGTTGTTCATGAAGAAGGTGTGAGCTGCTTGCGTGAAGGCATTGCGAATTCGTGTAACACAGGCCACCTGCAGTAGCAGTATGTAAAACAACTCAATAGAATGGTGAAAAGATCCCAAATTTTTTAAACATAATGTAGAAATAATAAGCTTCTCAATATTGGAATTATTTGAGTGTTAGGTTCATTGAAGAATTAATAGAAAGATGAAACTGAATTGTGCTTGTTAGTTCCAAATTTACATATGAAAGGATGAATAAATTCTAAGCTGCTTTAGCTATTTTCATTGTTGTTGCGACACAAATGGCACCATCCCTAAGAATTATCAATGTAACCATGGTTTTTGTTTATAATATGGTCTTCTAATACTCATATTTGAGTCACACTACTATGGAATAATATTAGAAATCTCAAAAATTTTACCAAATGTCTTACATGAGTCTCAGACTCACATGAAAGTCATATGGATTCCACACCCATACAAGATATTTGATAATTTTTTTGAGATTTCTAAGCATTTTTCCACTACTATGTGATGTAGCTTTCTTTTTCCTATTCCCTTCCAAAGGAGTTAATGAATTCGGACAAAAAAACATGATTATCATGATAATAAAATAGTAATAAAAGTAGCAATTATCTATCGAGATTCCCCCCCCCCCCCCAAAAAAAAAAAAAATGCTGCTAGATTTAAAACATACCAAATAACATCCCTTCAAAACAGAAAACGCATAGCAATGGAGCTACTTATTCAGAAAAGTAGTCAGAAATTGAAATGCCTGGATTATAAATTCCTCAAGTGTGTAATCTACATCACACAATTCAAATCTAACTCATCCATTCAAATTCTTGAAACTTTTCTGGATAGATAGCATTTTCTGTATAAAGGGGAAATAAAAAAAAAAAAAATACCGTAGTAGTCCGAGGTCTGAAGTGCGGAAAATCTCTTAAAAATTCGAGTGGTAATCGCTTCTTTGATAAAGGGTACTTGTCTTGATCTACTGGCCCAACATGAATGACTTTCTCTACTTTGAGCTCAATGGCATGTTTATTTTCCTTTACTGCAGGCTGCTGCAATGTTCCTTTTACTACTATACAAGTTCCAGTAGGCTTGATTTCGCTTGGTCGCCGAATAGACGAGTCCACCCGAACCTGAGAGAATTTAAAACCATATCAGCAAAATAGCTTATATATAAAAGTGAAATTTATAAAATTTGTGCACAATAATTGCAATTCGAGGGGTTTGTAGAGAGATTTATCCAAGTTCAGACTAAGCCGAATTGGCTTGTTTGAACTTAATTCCAAGTTTTATCTCAAAGAATCGAGTCAGGCTTCATTTCAAGTTTTATCTCAAAGAATCGAGTTAGGCTTCATTCCCCTGAATTTAACATAAGATTTTTATCTTAAAATGAGCATAAAAAATGTATTGTACAAGCATAAAAAATATATATAATATGAAAATTTAGTTTCAATACACCAAATCTAATATATATAATAAACTAATTTACAATTGTTGTACTTTATTTAATTTATCGCGTTTTTTATAAAAAAAAAATGAACGATAATTGTATTTTTTAAAATAAATCATACATTTTTTTATGATAAATATAATAAATTGAACAAATTATAATTATTGGATCAATTTAATTTTTTTTAGATAAAATACAGGAAATACCCGATAAAATAAACAGTTCGAATTATCGATATGAAATCCGCGATGAGCCTCGTGAATCCAAACAATGCTCTCCAATTGAGATTTTAGTCTGGATAAAATCTGCCTCCTTTAAAATTATGAAAATAATATATAAATTTACTTTTTAGACCAACTATCTAGATCTTATGCCAATACGATGATTTCTAATTTTGAAGCCTGAATAGGCATGCTCTTGAAATTATAGGAACTCAATATGCCACATCACTTGAATTATTTATTTATTTCTTATATTTTTTGGGAAAGAATGACAATTTTCATATGGAAGAAAGAGAAGAAATGGAATGTACCTGAAGAGTTGCAACACAAGAACCATCACTAACTTGCAAGACAGCTGTTGGTGGCATCTTTGGAACCCCTGAATCCAACTTTCCGCGACTTGGGTGCTGCTGCTGCTGGCTTCCCCCCAACACCTTCATCAATGATCGAAAAAAGGGAAGGATTTCCACACACCCCACATCTTTACTCCCCACCGTCACCACCGCCGCCGCACCACCACCGCCCACCTCCTGCGCTGGCAGCGCCGCCTCGTTCGAGGACTTAACCCACCCACCAATCACCACTCTCTTACCTGCCAATTCCAACCCGCCATCGCTGCTTCCCACTATGGTTTTCAAACTCACCCTCTTCGAGTACTTGCAAAGGGTCACCGGGCTTTTCACTATAACTTGTTGTTCAGAGGCCATAGAGACACAAAGGTAGAAAGATGCGAAAAAAAAAAGGAGAGAGATGAATTTGAAGACAAGAGCTTTGGTGGGTATGTAGTGTGATGTGAGGGTATGTGGGTGGTGGGGTTTTATTGGGTGAGACATGGTGAGAAAGAGTAGAGGAATTAAGGATGCTTTGCTTGGGAAGCAAAAATGGAGGATTGACTATATTGAGAGAGAGAGAGGAGGAAGATGAGAGAAGGGAGTGTCGGGAAGTTTTTTGGGATGAAGGAAAGGGATTGTTTCTCACCCTTCCAATCTGAGAGAGATAGAGAGAGAAATGTAGGCTGAGGTTTGGTATTCTTCAAGAATGGGCATTCGCGGCCATTTCGCACTGCCAACGGTTTTACCGAGCACTTACTACATTTTATTCTAATGTAGTGAATCAATACCAAGAATATAGAGGGGTCTTTTTGGGAAGTTAAAAAAAAAAACTAATTTTTAGTCTTTATTTATTTTATTATTTATTTATTTATTTATTTATTTATTTTTTTAAGGTTACATTACCTCTCACATTTTTTATTTATAAAAAGATAAAATAGACTAAAAAAGTCAAAAATCAATTTTTTACCCACTTCTCAAAACAGCACAGAATAAAATCTCCATCAAAGTTCTTCCAGATATGGAGGAGATTTCCTCCCGTGCAAAATCTGAATTAGAGGAGGCTGCTTGGGCCCTAGAATCCACTGTGAATTTTGTTTTGATAATTCAAACTATTTATTTTGTTAGGTAATTTGTGTATTTCATCCAAAAAAAAAAAAAATTAGGCGGATTCGATAACTGTAACTTGTTCAATTTATCGTGTTTTTCACTAAAAAAAATAGATGATAATTGTGTTTTTAAAAAATAAACCATATTTTTTTTAATAACAAAAACAATAATTTGAATAAGTTATAATTATCGGATCGATCTAATTTTTTTTTATGGAAGAAATAGATGAAGTGCCTGAAAAAATGAACGGTTAGAATTATTGAAACAAGGCCCGTGGTGGGCCCCATGGAGCCAAACAACACCTTTCAATTCAGATTTTGGACTGGGGAGAATCCTCATTCTTTATATAATATTTAAGCATAAAACAATTTGTTTGAGATTTTGCTCAAGGAAAATTCTCCAGCGTACCGTAGGTTCTACACAAAATTATATAAGTTTTCATGGATTTACATTAGTGATCTTATAAAAATGTGTAAATTAAATACAAATTCACGTAATCACGTAAGTTTTCACTAACTTGTGTGAATTTATGTTTAACTTACATATTTCTGTTAGATCATTTATGTAAGTTCATGAAAACTTACGTAATTTTGTGTAGGGTTACATACTACGGTGTGCGCACTAGAGCATTTTCCTTTGCCTAAAAGGTCGAGTAATTATTCTATTTTTCAAGAAGTTCACGTTGACAGTATGTCCAATTAATAGTAAGGAGCTAAATAAATACATGACCCTAATAACAAGGAGATGGTAAACAAATTATAATATTTCATTAGTCGGGCACATGAACACATTATTTTTCTAACCTGCTAGATAATATCTGAGGTCAAGTCATATTTGTTTGGACCCACATCATCTTAGAATTGAATTAATTAATAATATTACAAAATACATAATTTGATTTTTGATTAAAAAAATTAGAATCTAAACTAATAATTTATTTGGATATAATATCTCTAATATTAGAAACTATTGAATCCATAAGAGGAGTGAGATAAAAAAATGAAAGATTAAAGAGAAGTTTGAATTAATTATTTAAATTGCAAAATTGTTAAGATTTTAAAATTTTATCTTATTTTGGTTATACGTTTACGTGTAAAGCTCCAATATCCACAGTTTTCTTATATTTGTTTTCTCTTTTCCTTTTATAAGTATTCGAATTGTTATGAGAAAAATTGTTAGGTGAACACTTTTTGGGATTGCTCCATTTTTATGCTGGATACTTCGGTTCGCTTGTCGTTATTAGATCAATTCTTTTAAGTTTTTTTCTCCGCTTATTGGTATGTTTAAACTCAACTAAGCAGTCCTGCCAGACCTAAAGTCACACAATTGGAACAATATGGCAACGACACATTTGGAGATGGAACAATTGTTACACCCGTTAGTTGTGGTTGGTTACAGTTGTAATAATGCAATGAACTTTTGTTTATGTTTTGCATGTTGATGAGATCCTCCCATTTTTTAAGTTGTTTCAAATATGACATAAGATATACAATCTGAAGGGATTTGTAATCTTACTAGTGTTAGTTTTAAACGGGTAATGCTATGATGGTACTATCACCCCGTTTGTTTTGGAGTGTAATGGATGGGAGGGGATTAATATGGAAGTGGGGTTATTTAATGTCGTGTTTGTTTGTTTGTAGAGTTGGGGAAGAGATTAAGATTTGAAGAGGGGATTAAGATGGAGGATGGAAGGGGGATTGAAATGGAGGAGGTAGAAGTGGTATTAGAAAAATAGTGAGGGGATTATAATTTTTTTTTTATTTTTTACATATTTGGAATTTTTTTTAAAAAACATTAATGTTTAATTTTTTATATATTTTTATTTGTTTTATTATTTTATATAAAAATAATTTAACAATTCCTATACTAACAACTATCATCAAAACAAACTAATTTTACTTAATACCTTCACTATCAATCCCCTCACTATTAATCCACTCATTATAAATCTCCTCATTCTACCTTTGAAAACAAACGAGACTTATATGCAAATTATAATATTTATGGACTTAATTTTCACGAATATCATAACTTAATTCTGTAAGAGTAACAAGTAAACCAAGAAAATTAAGTTATAACCAAATATCACATAAGATATAACTAAAGAGCTCTTAGATTATAACTAAAATAATGTCATAATTAATATCACAATGAATCATAATTAATATTACAATAGATTATAACCAAATATGCATATGGTACAAAATTTTCCCGTATTGCTATGTGTATACATATTATATATATAATTAAATTTTCAGAGTAAGAGCTTATGTTTATGAGTAATGCTATTATACCAATGTTAGATATTATTTGATGGGCTATGAATGTATTGATTTATATATATTTGGAAAAATTATAATTTAGTGGATCTTTTAAAAAATAATTACAAATTTATAAATTTTTTATAATTTTATTTATTAATATTTATAAATTTTATAATTAATTTGTAATTATCTTTTGCAATATCACTGATTTGATATTTGCTTTATATATTTTCAGCAATGTTATAGGGTCTAAAAAAAAATTATTCTAAAAGTTGCCAAAAAATGAAATTATGAAAATCAAATTCATTTTGGACATACCCCCACGTGACATTAAATTTGAATAAACGTTGTTCACTTTATTTTTAAGTAACTTTTTTGAACTCCCTAACTTTTTACATATACATTTTCTTCACCTTTTCCCATAGCATGCCTATTTGTTGTCGTTTTTTTTTTTTTTTTTTTAATTGAAAGTTGATAATTGAAAAGTATAGGCTAGAGCCATTCATTTCCCACATTTTCAACAATCAACTAATTCAATGTAAGTTATTTTTAACTCATAATTTTTTAGGAGACAAATTATATTGGTAGTCCCTATATTTTGTTCCTTGAGTCATTTTGGTTTCTATTATTTCAATTAGTTCGATTTTGACCATTAGTTTTAATTTTGTATTAATTTAGTCCAATTGATAATGGTGATTAGGGTTTTTGAAGGGAGATGGTCATTGAATTGGTTGATTAACTCAATAAATGGAACAAGTTTACAATTTCACCTATAAAAGCATGCCACATGTTGCTGACTGAAGAGAAGATTGTAGGTGATAATGTTGTTGTAAGTCAACTCAACAAATGAGCATCTATCTTGTCCCAATGAACTTGATCTAGATTTGAGATTTCCACTCCTGTTGAATCTTTGATTTGAGCTACAGGACATGGTGTGGATCCATCAACAAGCCCTAGAAGATCTGTAGCACGATGAATGCTTTGAAATTGATTCTTTTAGATAACAAAGTTAGTAGAATCAAGTTTGATTGTTATGAAAGAATTCAAATTAGAGATCAAAAAGATTGAGATTCGCATGGAGAAAAGAAGAAGAAGAAGAAGAAGAAGAATAATAATAGGAAGACGAAGAAGCCAATGAAGGATCGTTTGAACTCGTGAGAGCTTGGGAGCTCCGATACCATGAAGAAATCAGTAAGATGTTATTCTCAAGTACAACTTTTGTTTATATATAAACTCAACTATCTAACTAACTATGTAACCACCTATCTAACAAACACAAGTGGTTAGACAATTCTATTGTACTGGTTGTCAATTCGCAACCATTTGCTCGTCATCACACATTCGTCCAAAATGTAACGGATCGGTTCAATTCGGTCAGTTTAGACGGATCGGTATATCTGCTGTTCATCCCTAATTGATGCTACACTTGATCTTTTGCTTTAGCTCAAGCATCATTTGATTTGATGGTTCAAATTTTCCATTAAAAAAACACACACTAGATATTGTAATTAATTTGCCCAAAATAAGACAAAATAAAAAATTTATGGTCAAAATCGAGTTAATGAAAATTAAAGAGAACAAACTGATACAAATGCCAAAATATAGGGATTGCCCGTGTAATTTGCTTTCTTTCTCTCTCCTTTTTCTTCTTCTTCTTTTTATTTTTTTATTTTTTATTGTTGCTGTCAATCAATTACAATATATAAAATTATAACATGACAATAGTAGTTCAGCAAATATATAGGCCCAACAAAGAGAGCCCCCATAATGGGGAAGAAACCACCAACTCAACAAACAACTAAAGAAAAAGTTTTATAACGGAGTAAAAATAACAACACAACAAAGCCCCATAGAGAGATAATTATCAATGTTTGCATTTAGCAAGGATTCTTTGATCTTTCAAATAGAAGTATGCATAAGTGGCTAACTGATCTAGCCATGTTGATTTTTAGCTCCTAAGCTATGTTATTTTGGGGGGGGGGGGGGGGATTGGAACACTGGCATGGATTATAAACTGCCCAAATGTGATGTATTAAAATAAAACTTCTTTTAATTTAGTTATTTAATTAATTTGTTCAATTTTTCTAAATTGTTGAATTCATTTAATCACATTATTGTAGACATTTTTTAGATCATCTCTTCTGTTAGCATGAAGTTAAATGGTGAAAAGTTAATATCTATGGGACCATACGTTATTTAGTGCAAGGTTTAATCTTTTTTAGTAATAAGGGCACGCGTTGAAAAGTCGTCGGAAAGTTGTCGACAGTGACAACTAGCGACAGTGAGATGGATATGTAAGTGGCACATTTATAGATAGTGGGACATTTGAATAGATGGTTGGACATTTGAACAAATAGTTGTATAGATAGGTGAC